TTGCCTATACATCCGACGAACGCACCCAAAAAGAAGTCTCCCGTTATATCTGCATCTGACACCTCGCCTAAATTACGAATCTCTTCTCCGACGACTCCATCCAACCGTACCAGAACCGACAGTCCATTCCTATAGACCGCAACGCTATGCCAGTTACCAATTTCGAGTTTCCCGGGACTCCTCGCCGACCACTCTTCGTCTCCCACTCGAAATCGCGCGACCACCTCGAGGTCCTCCACGTCGACGTGCACGAAATCCCCGTCTCCTGCGTTGCGCAGAACGGTGCAGTTCTCTTCGTTTTCCAACTTCAGTTCAAAAGCGATGCTCGTCTGGTGTCAAAACTCGCACGGCGCGTTCGAAACAGCGAAGGTCTCTCTGCCGTCGTCGGAGCATCGGCCGACCGACCTGAATCCATCGACCCAGCCTGCTGATCCCGACGCTGTGCCATCGTCCCGGTTCCAGTTTCCCTGGACTCCTCGCCGACCACTCTTCGTCTCCCACGCGAAATCGTGAGACCACGTCGAGGTTCTCCACTTCGACGTGCACGAAATCCCTTGATCCGAAGCTGCGCAGTACGGTGCAGTCATCTCCGTTCCGCAACTTCAGGTCGAACGCGACTTTCGTCTTGTGTCTGAACTCGGGTATGTCGGACCGTATTCCCGAACGAAGCTGCTTTCTGATTGGCGGTGCCGGTTCCACGGTACCGTCGTCGATGTTCAACACGAAACCGAGACGAGCCTGATCCGGCTGGCAAACGTACAGATCGAATCGAACGGTGTTCGCGTCGTAGCGGTACTCGACGCTGGTGTTGCACCTATTGTCTCCGTCTATGTACCAATTGTTTGCGAAGTAAAGATTTTGCAGGTGCCTTTGCCTCGTCTTCTTCTTCTACGAGATGCTTGGTGCTGCACGTTTTTATCACGTGAACGAGTCGCAATGACTTTGTAAATTCAAAGACGGCGTGATAAGTGTGTTTCTCTGGGTCTTCGATAGAGAATATGTAAGCAAATGTTATCATGGCGTACAGACGTTGACGTTTTTCGTCCGAATTGACGATGACAAATTTCCAAATTCTCAGGAAATCGAAAAATGGTATCGACGTGTCGGCGAATTCCGGTGGCGTCGGCAGGTCGTTTATGAAGTCGGACAATGTTATCCGGCACGTAAAATATGTATAACCCATTATTAAAAACTGCATGTGCAGCACGTTCTCATCGTGCCCCCACGCCTTCAATTGATTATAACGTGGGTTGGTGGGACTGTATCCGTCAAGGACGGGAGCGGCGAAGTTTCCAAAAAGAAACGGTTCGCATATGGCTAGAAACCTCAACCACGGGTCGCCGGATATTCTGAAAGATTCGTAGGAATGTACAAGTATTTCTGCAAACTCGTTGATTTTCTTCACGTCGAAGCATTGCAATCGTTCTCTTAATACAGCCCAAGCGGCGGATTCCAATTTGGTCGTTACGAGGTCGTCGGCCAAAAGAAACGAAAGTACGGAAGCTACGTACACGTAAGTGTTCAAATCGGGAAACTCCAAGTCGATTGTGCGATTGTCGACCAATTTCAATGCAATTTCTGCCGCCTTTCTTTCGATAATCGGAAGAACGGTGACCAGATTCAATTCGATTACGTGTTCTCGGGGCAGGCCTAGATCTTCTTGCTGCGAAATAATGCCGACGTTTTTCGTCAGTTCATCCAAACTGCTACTTGAAACGTACGATGTTTTTTGGTTATTCAACAGGACACGGAATTCAACACGTTTTTCCATTTCTATCTCATTAAAATAAGTGATATTTTCATTTACGTCTATGCTTATACGTTCGATGACGTACGTCATCGGGTCTTATACAATAATGGAGATCTTCCTCTGCTTTTCCTTCTTTTTCTTCTTCTCGTTATCGTGGTGGTGGTCGTCGTCGTCGGCGGTGAGTCGCTTCATCGCGTACGCCAACAGCACCCCGTTTCCGAAGCCGACGGCCGACAGGAAGCAGTAGTGCACCACCGCAGGAACGGAATCTCTCCCGAATTCGACGGGGACGTTGATTATGGCAAATTTTACCATAACGAGCGGTAGGGTAGCACGCAGTTGCAGACGAACGTTCCTGCAAAATTCCACACACGACTTTTCACGTTGGTTAACGTCCACATGTAATCCAAAGGAAAACCGATTCGCATAACCGCGACCAAAATCCCAACGCCATACAGATCGGGGAATTTCAACGTCAGAGCGAACGTCGTGAAGCACAAAACGTCCACGATCCTGTTTATCGGTCTCACGACCGCGCTGGATGTTCCCAATCCGCTCAGAAGCAGCAAAAGGTAATTTCCCAACAGACACGAGAACGTCGACTCCATCGTTCTTTCGTCCACCGAGCGATCGTCTGCCACCGTCGTCCGCAAAGCTCCGGCCATCGCGGACAAGACTACGACGCCGACTGTCCTCATTATACTGACGGCGCTGTCGACCATGGCGTGTCTAGTGTCAATCGTGAACATGTCGGAGTATCGTTTTCCGAAATACATTTCCAAAATTCGGAAAAACAGCACAATGCCAAATCCGTTGTAGGCGAACGATAGCGTCGCGCAGTAGACTGGAAGAGGTACGTCCAAGTTATTCATCTCTCCATGTGTCCCTTTGTCTTTTTCTCCCTTTTACTACATAAACAAAAAAAGTAAAAGACACTTGGTAACGCCAACTTTCAGGGTCCGGCACCGTTTTTCACCCCGGCTTCCACGCTCCGTCGAGCGGCTGCGGCCTTCTCCTCGAACCTCTGTTCCATGCAAGCCACGTTGCGCATCGATTCCACTCTCTTGTACTCAAAACGATCATCTCTTTTTTTCCCGAACATGTTTGCGTATGATCGATCAAACTCTCGGGTGTCGGTTTTTGTAAGCATTCGTTAAAGGATGAAGAAGTTCGCTCCGCTCATCGCGGCGCTCCTAATCTTCCTGTTCG